AAACCTGCAGGTTGCTACAAAAACCTTAGAATAAAAGAAATGAAGCTTCATTGAAGAGATTTAAAGTTTCCTAATAGTTCACCACTCTCTTGATGATATATTTCGAGTAGTCCTCCCAAATACCCATGAATCTACCGTAGCCACGAATCTTGCCTCGATTCGCCTTCAGAACCTGCCAGAAAACGTCGTCTGCTGTAAGCCCCTTCGAGTACCACTTGTTGAACTGTGCAGCCTCCAGCTTCTGGGCAATACTCTTTGATCTCCATCTAAGTTTCCCCACTAAAATCATCGTCGCCACCTCTTTCTCACCGAAGACGTCCGTCAGAGCGGCAAGTATCGCGCCCTCTGGGTACTGTTTGTTTACTTTAGCAGCATGCTGAGCCCAAATTTTGAAGTTGGGGCTCGAAAAGAGTTTAGCCACCAGATCCGTCTGAATAAAGTTGTTCTTGCCGACGGGCATTTTGCTTAGCCTTAGCGTTTTGAAGGCGTTCCCTAGAGTCTCGTCGGCATAGAGCAACCCCTGGAGCTCCTTAGTCTTGGCGGATGTAAAGACTTGTGATAACTTATCCCCGGAATTTTCGCCAACACTCCTCTCTCTTCCTGCCCTTCATCATCTGTACTATCAGCTCTCAGAAGTGTCTTGCTGACGTTGTTCCCTAATTCGGGAGTAGGACTGCCAGCTAGCACCAGTTTGGATTTCTTCGTTGCGTCAAAATCCCAACTAGGACAGCAGCAACCAACAGAATAAGATGGTATAGCTTCATCTCGGGGCTCTGAAGACTGAGCACTGGGTAACGAAGAGAGATTTGGAAAATGAAGTGGGATTGCCATCACAAACTCATCAGAAGTTTGTGAAATCACCTTGCAGAACAAATATTTATGCAAAGACCTTTTAGATTCAATGAACAGTTTATAAAGACATTTTTTTTTAAATCCACAGATGAGATTTTTAAAAAAAACTTTAAGCATGTCGTAACCAGTTTGAAAAGCCATAAAGTCGATAGCATTGCTCATCACGTCTGCCAGTTTTTTTAGTAACGCAGGACCCAACAGTAAGGGCCTGGTGAAAGTCCATGTAACTAATCATTTTGTTACCGAAATAAAATGATTAGTTGCTTAACGTAAACATTTTGTCTGCTAACTAAACAAAGTCACCATTCCCTCAACCAGTCTGAAAATGTGCCGTCTTTGCGGAGATCTAATTTACGGTTGTGAAAGACACATGGCTATTTGTTTAAGGCTTCGGCATCTGGCAAAAATCTAAAACGGCTCAAGAAAAACTAGTCTGATTTCATTTGGATTACACTTGTTGATTTTAACCATTTCGAGAACGAAGGGGCAAAATGTCGGAACACGCTGCTGCTACCGGAATTAGCCTCTACTTTTAGTGTACTTGTTGTCATATCATGTCAACTTTCGGTGGGCCGTATAGAGACAGCTATCGCGTTTCGGGTTGAACTTTAGTGGAATAAAAAAATTAATACTTTATGGGCGGGGACTTAACAACTTTCTGAAAAAATTGAAGTTCGCGCTTTCGGAGCGACTGGCACTCGCGACCCCCCCCCCCAGCGGCAAAACAAACGATTCCAGATGCGGCTCAAACCCTTAAGCAGATTTCTTGGCATGGTACGTTTGTTTGCTACAAGGAGAAGGTTTTGTGATAATAGCTAACATGTACGAATGACAGGCGGACAGCGACAACCTCCCTCCGTATCCCAGTCACGGCAACGTCACGCGTGCGCAACAAAACACAGCAAAGCTTGCGCGCGCTCAGATCCGTCAGAATGAGCGTTAGCTGAGGAATCAAGCTAGGCCGGATGGGTCTAAGCTCCCTCCCTTTGTTGCGCACAATCTGTTATCTCTGGCGGCTCATAACGCAGAGCAAATTGCGCTCTCTCGATAGGAGGAGCAAGCGGCGCATCTCGCCATACATGGGCAGCAGCGGGTTACTCGCAAGACCGCCGCAAAGCTATGGATGAATCGCGAAGAAATGACCGGGCGATGATAGATGGGAAATGCGTGCTCTGCGACTCATGTATCCAGCAAAGACAATCGCGATGGAGTCGTCCAATAATGACCGTGTGTTGGCTGAGGTTATTGCTGCGGAAGAAGATGGAGATGCTTTCGAAGACGCCTCTCCTCTGCCCTCGGCTGATGGGACAGATGACTCTGACTTTTACGATGCGCCGCACGAGAAGTAAGTGGATGATGTGCTCGAAGCAGAAGAGGGAAGTAGTGATGAGAATGCTGCGAACGGAATAAGCGCGGAGGAAAATGAAGGTTCTGATGAAGACGAGGAGATTGGAGAGTCTATATTTGGTGCTGCACCAAAAATACACCAAACACATTCGAAAAACAGAAAAAAGTATTTGTTTCTGTACGTTTCGGGTCTTTGAAGAAGACCTACGATTCCAGGGAGGCTTTTCACGCCGCATTCGAAGTGTTCCAGAGGGAGACATACAAGCAATTCTCGAAGCTATCGAGTACGTCAGTGAAGATCCGAAACAACCACATGACGAAGAATGCTGAAGCCCTAAAACTCACCGGAAAGCGTGCTAGGAAGGCAGTGAATTTGATTCCTACTGACTGGGAGCACTACGGCATCACGTTTAAGTGTATCCACGGCCAGGAATACAAGTCACGTGGCAAGGGGAAGCGCAAGCATCGAAAGGCTCGAGACACCAAGTTTAGTGCAAAGTTGAACGCGCGTGTTATGGCGACTTCGTATGGAGACTTGGAGCTGAAAAGTTTTGGGTCCGGTGTACACAACCATTATCTCACCAAGGAGCTCTGGGAGAGCTATGCTGAAAATCGAACTGTGAAAGATGTGCGCCTGACCAACGATGTCGAGGTCCTCCAAAACGGTGGTGCCAACGGCAAAGGAATTTTGTTATACATTCACGGACGCACAGGTAAATTTAAATGTTGCTGGTGTGATTTCGGGTTTTGAAAAGGGTAATTTTTGTGTATAGGGTTTGATATGTAGGAAAAAGACGAAGATGATGAATGTACACAACATGGTTCAGAGAATTCGCTGTAAGCAAAGAGGCAACCTGACGGATGCAGAAAGAGCCTTGCCGTCTTGGAAGAGTTCTGCGGTCAGAATTCTGGAAACACCGCCGAGGTTAATGTCGACAGAGAAGACGATATTGCTCGTGTCGTGACTTTCCAGACGTCGAAGATGAAGCGTATTTTCTCGGCCTTTTCTCAGGTCGTGATGGTGGATTCGACTCATGACACTAACGCGAATCGCTACAAGCTGTTTACCTTCGTGGTGCACGACGTCTTCGAGAAGGTATGGCTGTAGCGCCTTACATAATGTATTATTGTGGAGTCTCGAAGAATATATATGCTGTATCTTTTTTGTGTAGAGTCAATACGTCCATCATGCACTCTTGGAAAGCGAGCATAGGGTTAATTTGGGCAAAGTCGTAGAGATATTCAAGAAAAACAATTCAGATTAGCACAAGATACGAGATATTATGACCGACAAGGATGTTCATGAACAGGATGGCCTGCGCGAGATGATTCCACAGGCCACTCAGCTTCTCTGTCAATGGCATGTGTTGACGTGGCTGAAGAAGCAAGCTGCCCGTCTGGCCAAGCCTGTGAGCAAGGAAGTGAAGGTTCTAATGAGTATTCTGGTCGATGCAAAGTCGGAGGGGGATTACGAGTATTCAAACGGCACCATGTTCCAGATTCTCGACGGTTAAGAGAATAATCCTCTTTTCAAGACTTTCCCAGAATATTGAGATAACTCGCAGGACCAGTGGGTGTCGTACAAGCGCGGAACGTCCCGCACCTGACGAACAACACGAACAACCGTATCGAGTCAAAGTGGGGGAAGATAAATTATGTCGTCAAAGATACCTTTCCAATCGACCAGCTTGTGACGACGCTTATTACTCTACAGGATTACGCTGAAGAGCACTACATTGCATAATTTAATTGCGTGGCAGAGAGACCAAGTGGACTAAACGAGGTCCCTAATCTTGCATCGCTAACATTGCAAATCAGTGACTTCGCGTTAAGACTTGTCTCGGAGGAGCATGCGCTTGATACAGGCTCTGGTGCTGACTACACTGTGAACATGGGAAATGCGACCACAACGGTAGTGGCGAGTGTAAAGTGTGCATCTACGTATGAGGTAGACACTCAGATATCTGTTTTGTTTTGATGGTTTAGATTAAGTTTATTTATTTTCTTTTGCTAACGTTCGGTTCAATATTCTGTGATGCAGCGGAGTCAATGTAAATGTGTCTTCATGCAAACATGTCTGTACTGTGCCGTCACGTGATGTTCGTAAGGAGTAGGTGCAATTATGGAACCGTTACACTCTAATGCGCTTCATTTCCACGAGGTGGATCGTCCACAGTGTGGTAAATATTATTGCCGAGGGAGAAGTCTCTCCTGGTGGTCTTCGCCAAGTCTCGTGCGCCCCGTTACCAAAAGAAAAATACACTCTCAAGTACTTCGAGGTACACCGAATCAAACTATCTATCCGAAATAAACGATGCTCGCATGACGTTACAGTCGCCACCCACGTATCAAGCTGCTATACCATGGATGGAAGAGTTCTACGAAGCACTCAACAGTGGCAACGTTGTGGCGTTCAATCTCAAGAATGTTTAAGCGGCTTTCTGAGTCTCTTTATTTGGTGGTGCGACGCTCTCACAGATGTCGTTCGCCAAGAAAGCAATGCTACCGTTGGATTCGAATGTTGTGGACGAGCAGCTGTGTACTAAAGTTAAACACGACACTGGTGTGGGGCAGGAAGGAGATAAGGAACGCACAGTGTTAAGGCGTGATACAACACAGCAGCGATGCCGCTTTCAACAGTAGCGAAGTTGGTTCGCTCCTCAAGAAGAAAGTCAGCGAAAAAAAAATTCATACCAACACTACCAAAAAGACAGCGAGAGCAGCACCAAACTGAAACCACTTCGAAACCCAAGCGTAGCAGGGCTAAGTGGAAGTTTGCTAAGCGTCTGCTAGTTATGGGAATGACAAAAGCACAACGCAAGCGAGCGAAGGCCAAAGAAAACCACAAAACGACAATCGTGCTGGCAACTAAATATCGAGAGGGACGGGTGGGGAAGCTGGCAAGTTTTGACCAAGTTGCTGAGCTATTAAACGCCCCATACAGCATGTTCCACACAAAAGCGATGCTAGACACTCTAGTGATCCCTAACCCTTGAGGTGCGTGGCAAGCTATCCGTGAGGTCGTACGCGGTCGGGCAAGACATCCCCCTCGTAAAATCCATCCCCCAGATGATCAAGATCATGGAATATATTGAAGCAATCCAGATAAGAGTCGATATTGACCTGCTAACCTATTGGCCTGACTACGGATTTGCAACGTTCGATCAGCTCGATGGCATGACAAGTGTCATTGAAGCTCGCAATCACTTCATTCTCGTCATGCGGACGATGCGGTGGATCGACGATGTGGAATGGCGTGTATCTGACATTTGCAAACCCTTTTCAGATGCACGCAGCGTCATCAAGGTATCGTGTGTTCCTTCAAACTAACCGGACCTAATTTTACGAATGTACAAACAGAATGAGCACAAAAACTACGTGGAAACGCTCACCCTAGGGTCAATCGAGTTCCTGGTGAGTTTGTCGCGGGACATCAGCTACTGGGCTTTCGTGAAAACTTGTGGCTTCATACGACGTCTATCCTTGTATCCATGATGGTTCTTCGTGATGAATAGTTCCCGTTTTCACGAATTTTTTAGACGAGAGCGACGTAAACGCGTGGCGGGAGGGTTTGGAGCTGGGAATCCGCAATACCAGCGTGGCATTGGAATTTTCAACGTAGGGAATCGTTGGGTTGCATTTCTAACCGACACATCCAACCTGAAACGAACAGGGGCGTCTGCTTCATGTTCGACCCCCTACAGAGCCAGCACAATTACACTATCGCCGAGCGTAGCGTACGTTCCGCTATCGAGGGGCTTCTACATGTGGAAGACATGCTGAATTTTGAGAAGGTGGAGTGCTGCAAACGAAAGGATATCAGCTCGTGCGGAGTGTGGTGCATCGCCATACTCGAATTTCTGCTTAGTGGTGCCTCGTGGGATGACTGCCTCTACAACCTGTTGCCGTACTCGCTCATGCGATTTTTGTATAAAGCGATTGGTTTTATTGGAAAGCAGGCAGCCAGCTAACTTCAACCAAATACATTTTGCATGGATCCTTAGTTTTGATCGGTAAAGTGGTTTGGTAAAATTTTTGTGGTAAGTTTGGTATACTACTTTTATATTTGGTATGTTTGGTATTACGAACCAAACGCACTAGCAGAAAGAACATAACACTCTAGAGCTAACTAGAATACGCAAAGTGCCACGATTCCCCAAATCTAGAAATTACCGCAAATGACTGATACAACATGGTGTATTTCTCACACACCAAAGCATAGATAAAATATATTTACCCTACATGATGGGTAACGTTTTTTACATGTGTTTCGGGGCGTTTAAAAATGGTACATCAGTACCCAAACAAGTCAATTAATAGCCGTCTAATTTTGGTTGCAGCAGTATCGTCCCAAAATGCCCTTTTTGATTTGATCCACGGTTCTATTGCTACGACTTAAATATTACAAATATAACGCAAATGTAATGTTAAGAAAATGCAAAAGAAGCAGTAAGCTTGTTGAATTGCTGCTTGCGTTCTTGGATGCAAATACCGATGTGAGTAGATTAGTGTTAACCGAAACTCTCCTACATGTATTTCTAAATACTATCCCTCTTTTGTCCCCCTCGTTGTCCTCTTGTAAGTGTTTGCTCAAGCACCGCTCCTGGCATACCTGAACCATCCATACTGTAATTTCTGGCTATTGCCCAATCAAAAACGATCCTGATCGGGACGTAATCCGGTCTGGGACAGAACGGGACGGACCGTAATCCGAACGACGGTCGGAACCGTAACCGAAGCGTGCGATGGCAGCGTACTGCAACACTCCCACTCGCCGTTACTTCACGGTGACCTTATTCTTGATGCCGCTTGCGCCACGCAGATACTTCCGTGTCTTCGCCCCGAGGTCCTTTGTCAACATGTCGGCAAGCTGTCGCTTGGTGTCAAGATAGTTCAATTCAACCGTTGCCCCATTCTACGTTCGCGCGCATGAAGTGGTATCTGATGTCCACGTACTTAGTCCGCGCGTGATATACAGCGTTCCTAGCCAACGCGATTGCACCCTTATTATTTTCCCAGATTAGTGTCGCGCCCACTTGCTCGATACCCATGTATGTCAGCATAGCACGCGTCCACGGCCCCTCTTGCGTACATAGGCGCAAAACCATACACTCCGCCTCAAATGAGCTGAGCACGACCGTCCTTTGGAACTTGGACTTGAACACCACCGGTGCGTCTCCGATCATCACCATGACCCCGAACACCGATCGCCTATCGTCGATGTTCGTTCCCCAGTCTGTGTCAGAGAACGCAACTCCCTCGATATTCTCCGTCACACGACTTTCCTGCCCGCAATGTTTCGCTCAGGCATTTTCCGTCCTGATATTTTCCGATCCGCGATTTTCCGTCCTGAGATTTCCCGTCCCACTGTGGTATACTGTACCGTGATCGCGCGTCGTCTTTAAGTATCTCAGCACCCGGATAGCAGCTCGCCAATGCTGAATTCCATGTTTCACGGGGAAAAGGGACAGCTGCGTCACCACGTATGCATTGTGCGGCGGAGCACATGTCGTAATGTAACGTAGACAGCTGATAAGAGATCGGAGCGGTTTAGACCGCATTTCCGTTCGTTCTTCTTCTGTTCCAGGGAACCGCAGCTTGGACAACTTAAACTTAGCTAAACGCGGGTTGTCCACAGCCTTTGCGCTCTGCTGACCGAATCGCTCAGCAACATTATCGACATAGCGCGTCTGTTTAATCATGAGCGTCCGTTCCGTTCTGTTGTGATTGATCTACATTACGAGAATGAATCTGGCCGTGCCCAACTCTTTCAATCTTAAACGCAGCCTTGAGAGCCATCTTAACTTCTTGGATCTCGTCATTCGGCCTGGCAGCAATGATCATGTCGTCCACGGACAAGCACACGTAGTTCTGGACGAAAACGCAATGAATCGTCCTGTTTCACGCACTTGCGGCCTGCTTCAGACCGTGAATGGCCTTGTACATTAGGCAAATGAAGTCTCCTGCTCTCTCAGTGCCCAATTGAATCTCCATGTAAACATGGTTCTTCAGCACGCTGTTTCGAAACGCAATAACCGCGTCTAATTGCTCCATCACGTTTCCGACCGCAACACATACGGCAAGTACCACTCGAATTGAGTTTACGTTTGCCACAGGCGAGTAAGTTTCAAAGAGCGCTATTCCGAACTTCTGTTTGAAACCTTTTGCAGCCAGGTGTGCCTTGTATCGGATCACTCGTCGGTTTTTTGGTTTCCTCTTTTTTGCAAAGACCCAATGGCAGCCTATAGAACGCATCTCCGTCCTGCGTGGAACAATCGTCCACGTCTCGTTTCGCTCGTGTGAGAGTAGCTCCGTCCTCACCGCCTTGCGCCACTCGTCCCGTGTCCGAGCTGGCCATCACCTGCGGGTGGATCCGCTGGTACTGCCTCAGTAATTAGTCCGCGCTCTTCAATTCGCGCTCTCTTCGGTGATGGTGGTCCATCACTCCCTTCCAAATTTCACTCTCCATCAATTCATGGTCCGTCCTCAAGCAATAGAACGGTCTCACGATTCCGTCGTATCTGTTCCGATTCGGGACGAAAAAACAACCTATCAATATGAAACGCGGCTGAGTTGGATCGGAATCCGTCCAGAAATGCTGACTGTGTTGAGCGGTATTCCGTAAGTTCCAAGTCTGTCGAGGGCTCTGCTGACGGCAGAAACATTTTTATTCTCGCACTTTGAGTAGGTTCCACCGTACCCATCTCAATATCCTGGTTGGACTCCTCGACATCTTCCATCGGTTCGTCCTGAACCGATTCCCGTTCCACTCGGTCCGTCCGGGTCGGAAGGCGTCCTTCATCCAAATCCTTGGTTTTCGCAATGATTGCTCTTTTTTTTGGAACGGATGTTTCAAATATTCCGTCCACTTCTCGCTCGTCCAGTTGAATTGACCGCGATACCTTAACTATGGATCGCTCCAAGTCATATACCCGGTATCCTTTCACATTCTCCGCGCATCCGAGGATCATGCACCTGAAGCGCTTTGGTTCTAGCTTCGGCCTCGTTGCGTCATCGACATGAGCGTAACACCCGCAAGTGGTTCATGCGTGGGTTTGCCTTGATTCGCAACTCTTATGGTGTTACCGTCCTGATCGACGTGTCCATGGACCGGTTGATCAGGTACACAGCTGTACTTACTGCTTCGGCCTACCATTCCGTAGACACACCTTTGTAGTAGAGCATACTCCGTGCCTTTTCGATGATCGTACCGTTCATCCGCTCAGCCACCCCGTTCGGTTGAGAGCTGTATGGAACGGAGCGCTGATGCACGACCCCGTTCTTCATGCACATCTCAGCTTGCTCACAAACCCCGTCCCATTATGTGACCGTAGACACTTCAATCGTTCTCCCCATTAGTTCTCGTAGAGCGTCTTGAACACGATCAATTTTGCGACCACTTCGCTCTTATTCTTTAGGAAGTACGCTACTACGTATCTTAAGGGGCGGTTACCAGCGTAAGGATGTACCGTGCGCCTCCCTTTGAGACCGTCCGCTTAGGTCCCTTCACATCTGTGTGTAAAAGCTCCAACACACGCGATGTCTGGACGGGAACGGTGTTACTGTTTGCTTGCCTTTTAGGCACCCACCACACAGCTTCTTTGTGCCCTACTTCACCGGCGGCACTCCGCTCGTAGCTTGCTGCGTTCCGATCATTCCGTCCCGTCCGAGATGTTTCATCCGAGCATGCCATAGCTCCCACGCGCTGCCCCGGCACACTGCACAAGCCGTGCTGCCTCCTGCTGACAATCCAGGACGTAGGCTTTACCGATCTTCTTACCCAGTGCGATCGCTCTGGTTGTCCCCCAAATGGTTCAGGACGCTCTTTAGAACTCCACGTTTAGACCGCGTTCAGCCAATTTTCCGGCTAAAAGCAAACGGCTGTCCATCACGGGGATGTAGTGCACCTCGATCATCATGATGCGTCCTCCGCCAAAACGGGTCAACCGGACCGTTCCTTGTCAAGCTACGTGCAGTTTTTTTTCTGTCCGCGATGGTCACCTCAACTCCGGTGGCCATATCTTCGTATTCTAACAGATCATCACGGTGGGGCGTCATGTGGGACGTGGCACCGTTGTCGATCAGTCATCCGTCCTTCCGTCCTTCTCCCACAGCGAATACGGAGTCGCCCTCACGATCTCCGTCCTTGACCGGGCGGCTCGCTTCATATGACCGACTTGGTCACATATAAAGCGCTTGTTCTTGAAACCGAACCCGTTCTGTCGTGGTCCGTTCCGTTTTTCAGCTCCGTTCTCCTTCCGACCGTTTCTTCGTCCGTCTTTGAACCGGCCGCCGTTCGCCTTGAACGCGCGTTCCACGGTGTCCTTCTTTTCCAACCGCTCGCACTCTTTCAAGAGTTTCTCTTTCACATCGTTGAGTGTCACATCGGTTGCGCTC